GTCAAGCCACCCGTCGCACCGTCGCACAGCAGCGACGAGAGCTGTGTACGGGTGAGTTGGTCGCCTGTCGCACAGCGCAGAAGAGATCTGTGCAGCAGTGCCTAAGGGCATATACACTCCCACTAGGACTTGCTAGCATGAATGTGACTGCAATTACAGCCGTTCGTGAACGTTTCCGACCGGAATTACGTCCAGAAGTCGGTACAAAAAGTCGTGTGAGTATATATGGTAAATCTCTTCAAGTTACGTTTTTACTATCTGTGAGAAGTATAGAGCTGCAGTCTCCCCTGAGGCGGCAGGTTGGTCATGATCGAAGTCCCTTCTCAATAAACAAATAAATACGTAAAAGACCTGCAAGCCCGCATGCAGGCAAGCGAGGAGGTGGTGCTCATCTCCTCAAGAAAGACCAAGATTAGCTGGTTACACGAGAGAGAGAGAGAGAGAGAGAGAGAGAGAGAGAGAGAGAGAGAGAGAGAGAGAGAGAGAGAGAGAGAGAGAGATTGTCGTACTTCTGCAGTCGATCACCTGCTCCGCCATCCAGATTCTTCTCTCCACATGTCTTCACCATGATCGTTGATCTTTTTGCCACGTGTCTTGCCCATGGTCGTCTGTAGCGTACAAGCCCCCCCCCCTCCTCCTCTAAAGATAGTATCGGTGGGCTGGCCTGTCGTGCCGAGGCGGAACAAACAAGCTTCAGGAGCACGGTTGTTCTAGGCGGGGGGAAAGGATATACAGAACAGCCTGCCCGACAGTTTAGAGTTGGAACAGGTGTGTGGGATGCATGTAGGATCAAGTACTTCACATCGACCGTGATTTCTGAGGGATTCAACTAAGTGATCGATTTTTGGATTTTCATGGTGAACTCCACGTCGGCTGTTTTTTCCTCGTCCATTCTACGTCACGGGGGATCGAACCGTGGTCCCCCCCCCCCCTCCCGGCATCGATCTTGGTCTTCATCTTTGTAACTGGCACTTGATCTTTTTTTTTTTTTTCTTTTTTAATTACAACAACACTGGCATTTGATCTAGATTGCTGTCACTTACTTTTGTTGTCGTCGCGTCATCCTGCTTGCTGGCATTAGGTATCGATTGATGATACTCGATCCTGATTGGCTGTGCGATCGCCATCTTGGGAAAATTGAGTAAAGGGCGTCGCTGCACTACAGTAATTCTCAAAATGTGCAAAATGAGAATGCATCTTTCGCTAGAACGTGGAAAGTAAACCGCCATTTTATTTTATTTTTGGCTTTTGTGAGTGTGGAGTGCAGTGCTGCAAGGCCCTATATATATGCGCTTTTGCGCTCAGATAACTTTGTGACAATATATATGCTGTAAATCAACCTTGCACGGAATCGAACCGGCGATATCGGATTCAACATCCAGACGCCTTAACAAAGACGACCGTAACATCGTGGTTTCGTGGTTGGAGGTGTTCCATCCATCAAGCTCTTTTCGTTTTTCATAAGGACGATGGCCTAGAGATATCATTCATGATTGAACTGATCGGCCCTAGGTAATTCTGAGTATGATATCTGACAGCGGGCCTCGCTCCACTACTCTGGAAATGTGCAAAACGAGAGTGAATCTTCCGCTAGACCATGGACAGATACAGCGCCATGACTTTTGTCTTTTGTTCATGTCGAGAGTAGTGGAGCGAGGCTCAGTATCTGGATTCGAACTCTGGTCTGATTCATATTTCAACAGTTCATGGATGTACCAACTGAGCTACCATTATCGTCGCCGCATCTGGACTGAAAGTTGGGCCAAATGCAGCTATAATGACCGGGCGTTCTATTCGGGTGAAGACGGAAGTCCCGCTGATGTTCTCTACATCCACGGGTCGTGAGTTGCATCGTGTCCATCCGAGTGATCACTCCTTTGGATCGTGTCTTTTTTTTTTTCCTTTTTTTTTTTGGATCGTTTTTTGCGGAGTGGATTGAGATTTCTTGTCGCGAGAATCAATACAAACAATTCAAAAAAAGTAAACAATAAACATGTCGAGAGTAGTGGAGCGAGGCCCTATGAATCGGCGGCCTCTGTTGATTTTCGGGCCTTTCTTACCAGTACCTTCCCAGCTATTTCTTCAGAGGCGTGCTGGGTACCGTGCTGGCCTGAAACCGAATGGCGGCCGCCGATAAATAGGATAGGCGGCCTTTCTTGATTTTCGGGCGGGCATTTCGCCATATGGGAAAGGTACTGGTGAAAAGGCCTTTTCACACTTCCTCATCCTTCGCCATGAGGAAGTGTGAAAAGGCCTTCTGTCACAAACAGTCCACCCGCCATGCTTTTTATTATTTTCCAATAAACAGTACGACAAGG